AAACAACATACAATATCTGCTAATTTTATTTTCATCTTTAAATTATGCTCTATTAATTAAATATTAGTCAGAATATTAGTAAAACAAACTAAACCAAAAAAAAAAACCAAACCAAAACAACAACAGCAACAAGTAGCGGAAGGCAAACTAAAGGCAAGGCAAAATATAAGAGGAATATGAAACGACGGGTAATCGTCGTTAAAACAGTGCTCGGTTGATATGTTTCATTCAATATTTTGGATACAGATTTGGTTTGAGAACGTTTTCCTCGTATTAATTACGAATAATTTACTTGGAAATGTATTAATTAATTATTAATGTTTCTAGAAAGGAAAGCCCTTAGCTTAGTCCAATGATTCATTATTATTTTCCTATAAAAAACATCCATTTAACTCGAGCGCTGTTTTGATATTTCGGTGACACAACCAACACAGCCATACACATAGACACATGAGACACACATGATAATGCTAAAAACATCAAAACTGCCGTTAAGTTTAAAGAATGAGTAATACAAAGATTATATATAAATAAATATATATTAAATATATACATACATTTACATATATAATTAAATATACATAAACTAAAGTAAAACTGCTATTATGTAAATAAGTGAGTCAGAGCTGAAGCTGAACAAATAGACATAGACACAAAATAAATATTAAACGACAAAAAAACAACAAAAACCAAGCAAAAACCAAAATCATAGCTAACTAAAGGGAATACAAAAACGAACCTAAAACCAAAAATAAGGAAAGCTGCTAACGATACAAAAACAATAATTAAACTTAGCAAATACAGACAACCGAAAACAGCCACAAAAAAAAGAATGCCACAAGAACAAAATCTAAGAGAAACCGCGCTGATCTTTCCATTTAGGAACCAAGAAACCAAAAAAGAGGAAACAAATTGCTAATTTTATATGAGACCTGTAGGAGAATCCTGGCTCATCCAGTACTAGCTATGATCTCTTATAGAGACCCTTGTGATGCCCACGTGCATGGACATGCTTTCGTTTGGTTGAATACAGTCTATTATAGTTTCTAGCTTAGTTTAGTTTAGCTTGTCTTCCCTTAGAAAAGAGAGACGGCTGTAACAACTTCGATATTTAGTTATCAACTCGAGAGATATGCAGTATATCCTATATATTCCTCAGAACTGTTGCATGTTGTATGTGTCTTTCTTTTGTCTCCACTAGCACGCACAAAACACACAGATACAGATACGGATACAGAAACAGAAGCTTTAGGATCTAATAGCTCACACAAAACATGTTCATGAGTTGTAACTTGATTCGCTGTCTTCCTGATTTTTGTGATTTGATAAAAATCGAAATCTTCTCACTTGAAAAACGTTTAATCTAGCGACTTCAACTTTTGTCAAATTCCTAGAAAACGGCAAACGGAAAAGGAAACTAAAAGCTACAAAAAAAAAAATCGGATAGGAAAATCGTTAGGGGTAATACCAAAATTATCAATTTCAATTTGCATGCGCATTCGATATATCAATTCTATACAACATAAGATACAAATACGTTTGAACTGCTTCCACTGCTTCACTGTGCGGTGCATAGTGCCGAATGTCAGCGTGCAAATAGATCGATCGAAGCCATATCTAAATTTCTCTATACCTAGAATCCTACCTACAAAGCTTTGCTTCTACTGCTCTTGCTAACCAAAACGAATTATGAAAATCGAAATGGAGGGAGGAGAATCAGACGAGGGAGCCCACAAGTTACTTTGGACCACAGAAGAAACATCTCACAAGTTAGAAGATTTGGATGGTGAGGGATACGTTGCGTTACGATAACCAATACGATTACGATAACGATAACGATGATATAACTTTGAAGTTTAAGATGGTTTAGATGGGATTACCAAGTCGAGAACTAAGCTAACGCAGGCATACACACATATATGGTATTTATATATATTCGGATATATATATAAATATGTTTATTTTTTTGTTAGATATGCGACTGAATAAAAAGTTTTTATTGATTTGCTGCTTGTTGTAATTAAGAAGAATTTAAACCAATATTTATACCGAAGCAATCTGTAAATATGTAAAAACGAAAAATGAAAAAAACCGCAAAAAACGGAAAACCAAGCAAAAAATATGGGAGCGGGGAGTAAATAACGTTAAATAAATCGAATCAATTTACAGCTTTGAAAACCGTCCACACGCACACAGCAAACGAAAGAGAAAAAGATAAAGAAAAAGAATAAGAGAGATACAGCGACAGCGAATGAGAGAGAGAGAGAGAATGCGAATGAGGCACGAGTAAGCGCGGAAAAGAGAGGGATAATCAACTAGAACCGAAAGTCATTCTTACGTATACTTGATTTGGCCTTAAAGAAACACGCCTGCTTGCACACACACAACACAGACACACATTCATGCTCCGATCGGCCCTACTTATATACAAATATTTATATTATATATGTATATACTAGTCGCAAAAGTTGAAGTATCCCATGTTGTGTACTCATGTCAATGTCCCGGCCATATCCATTAGCATTATATATTAGCGGATTTTAGAATTTGTGGATTAATGAATTATTGGATTCACGGACCTGCGTCCGAGTTCAGTTTGGTTTTAGTTCGTTCGATTCGTTGAGAAGTTCTCGGTCGGCCAACCGATTAGATAAGCCCAATGAGCAATAACAAAATACCACAAGATTGCATATAAAATATTCTTAATATTAACTACGATAATTACACAATAATCTCTATATAGGCATACAAATAATAATACAATTAAAAACATATCGTCTTCAAGTCATGCAAACGGATAAACCAAATTCAAAATATTTTTTTTTTTATAAGCGTAATTTACAAACTAATATTAAACTGAGAAGTCGCTAAGAAATTTAAGCTTACTATTAAAAACAAAAAAAAAAAGAAAAGATGCAGAGAGACCGCAGCATAGGAATGATAATTTGAGGGCAAAAGGAGGAGAGGAACCAACTTGGCCAGACTACAACTAAAAGTGATATAAAAACCAAAAACAAGAGTCACAAAACAAAAGTAAAAAACCAAAAACCAAAAAAACTATTAACAAAGTAAAGATAACTTGCCAAAATAATTAAGGGTATTAGAAAGCGGAAGCGGATGTGGGAGTGAAGCGAAGAAGAAGCGTAGAGAAGAGAGAACTATGTTTAATTATGACAGAAGTAGTATGCCTAGGATCAAGTATACAGTCTGCAAAGTCTAGCTAAGTCCAGCTTGCCCCCTCCAATAGATCCCCCCATAGACCCCCCAAATAGTCCAGGAATCGCAGATTCCTTCGTTGCTCGTTTCAGGATCGATGAGGTGGACAGAGAAGCCGGAGGAGAAGCGAATTAAATGAATAAAAACAAAGACTGGAATAAAACAAATAAAGATTACAACAACAAATAAAAACAAGTATATATACACAAGCCGCGGGACTGCAGACATATATCTATGTATAATGTTCGATTGGTCGGACTTGACATACATACATATATACTTGATAGATCCAGACCACACCATTCAGTTCAGTTCAGTTCAAACCAAAACAAATCAAATCAAATCAGTCTTCATTATCGATTTCGATTTCGATTCCATTCCGAGTCTTCATTTCGATTCAATAAAGTGCAACTACCAAACAAAAAACCAATATATATTTAGCTCAAGCATGCGAAATACAATAAAAGTAAATGCAAGTAAAGATGATAACTATGCCTAGATAATACCACACAACCACACACAGAGAGCAACGTATTAGGCCCAGATCAAGTAGGAGGAGTCAGGATATATAGAGCAGATATATGTGGGAGGCATATGGGATGAAGGATGAAAGGAGAGGGATAGAAGGGATAGAAGCGATAGAATGGATAGAAGGGATAAGAGTTAGCATTACGAATGCGGTAGTCACTCCATGTAAATTATGCGTACAACAATAATAACAACAATTATAAAAACCAATAGCAGCAAGAACAGAGATGGGCATATGGAAAAACTACTTATGAATTAATGCTAAACAAATTTACATATTAAACGTATACATAAATAACACTTAAGTAAATCAAATTATAACAGAATGAACGCCGCAACAATTATAAAAAATATATGTATATATATATATGTATATAATATATACATATATACATGTATATATATGTTGTTAAGATTCTAAAATGAAATGTTTTATAAATAGTTAAACCAAAAACAAAAGAAACCAAAATGATTATTATACATTAAATACGAGAGAAAACGAAAACAAAACAAAACAAACCAAACCAGATAAAGATAAAAACACACAGCTAATAAGCAAAACAAAGGCAAACAGACACAGAACAAACACACAAGGAGAAACAACACCAAAACCACAATACGCAACAAACAACAAACAAACAAACAAACGAACAAGGCCAGCAAGCACAAAAATCTACCATTTGACTTTCGATAAATTTAAAAGCAATGGTTGAAAAGCTAAATCCAAGCCAAGGTGGCGAAACCGAAAATCAATTTTTACAATCATTGTAAATTGAAACCAAACAAATTGGATCTCAAATCAAAGCAGCTTACAAAACGAACAAATTTAAGTGAATAATAAATAATATATGAAAACCAAACAAGCCACACACATACACACATACACGTACACACACACCTACACAGACAGAGGCAGACACACGTTACTTTATGAACATAAAACAAATTAAATGGAAAGTATATAAAATAAATTATGCTAAAAGAAAAATTAAACGATCGCGTTTCATTTTGAATTTCAGCAAGCAAGCAGTGCCTAACTATCGTGAACGCTGAACGCAGCGCTGCTTGCAAGCAGTCGACCTCTGTTAACTTCAAAACTTTACAGTACCCCCTAACAGAATTGTGCTGTAATTTTAAACTGCATGGAATCGGTTATTAATTAATTTTTATTTGGCCACTAAGGAGCGCACATGTATGAGAATATACCTTACCCAGTTAGGAGGCAATGTAACCCCAAAAAAATCGAAATGCAACCATTATATTCTGGTATCTTAAGGTCGAGATACCTCGACAATAGGCTTTATCTTACCAACTACATTTCTCACATTTAATTTCTTATATTCAATATCTTATTCTACGATGCAACATCCCACGATTTGAAATTCCATTTCATTATCTATGTACCTTCGCTTGCTCTGCTCGTTCGAATATTTACAGTGTGAGGGGATGGGTGCAATGCGAATGAGTGTTCTGGATTTGGATTGAGATGGGATTAGGATCGAAGTGGGATGGGTGTTATGGAGCCGTGCCATAGCCACGATCTGGTGTGCATATCACAAAGTGTTCATCCCCGATGGCGGGACAGCTTGGGCAGCTGAGTGTCTGAATATTAGGGAATTAGCTTTGGTGATCTGCCACGCCTTCTGGCCCTCGATGCGGAAAGGGAACCGGAACCGGAAACGGAAACGGCAGCGGATGCCAGCGGAGCGGAAACGGCAGCGGAGGTGGAAAATGCAGCTGCTGTTTGCGGCTTATAGGTGGGTAGATCGATGAATACGGGCCTATATTCCGGTGCCTCGGGCCGCATGGACCGCGATTCCGATTGCAGCACATTGGTGTAGTAGTTGACCTCGTTCCGCTGCTCCCGCTGCCCCTCCTGCTGCTCGTCCGTACCACTTTCGCTGTCCTCGAGGCCGTGGGATCGCGCTCGCAAAAGTCGTAAGAGGTTTCTCTGCTGCACTGCCGAGCGGCGCGAGGCCTTCTGCGATCGCCTCCTGGCATTCGAACTGGTGTTTAGGAAGGCCGACTCCTCGTAGCGTGGAATATAGCGTGGCTTGCGCGATTCCCCCGGACGCACTGGCTCCCGATCGTGGGGCGTCACATTGAAGCCAAAAAAGCGCGGCGCCTGCACGGATATGAGCGGTAGAAGGGTCTCCCTGGCATAACGTTCCGCACGCTGAAGGAGTTCGCCCAGTCGGAATGGCAGCAGCTGGACGGTTTGCGGTTCATCCGGATCCGGAGTACGTCCGGTGCCCACCTGAGCCATCGTCTTGGCGGGCAAGCGGGAGGAGCCCGCTACGGCGGATGTAATGGCGCCCAGTGTTGTGACCATGCCAGCAGCCACCTCACTTTCGGACAAATCCAGATCCTTGCCCTGCTTAACACGCGGTGTGGTGGCCTTCAGAACGGGTTCCAGAATCTCAGGACTGTCGGTGGTGGCGTAATCCTGCAGATTCCGCCCCCTATTCACCGCCAGCCGGCGATCCTTGAGCACCGGTTCAAAGATCTCGCCAGCAATCGAGTCTGAGAGACTGCGACTGGACTCCGCGGCCTCGGCCGTCTCATTATCCAGCGAGTTGCCCACCAAAATCGGTTGCCACGGCAGCTCGTCGCCCTGGTCAAGGGGATAAGTCTGATTGCGGGCCAACTTGAAGCTGGTGCCCAAATTGAAGATGTCCTTGCGTTGCTTGGCGCTCTCCACCCCATCCACCGATGCCGCCAAGCCGGATTCCTGGACACTGGAATCGGGCACATCGGTGGGCACTGCCACCGTGGGATTTCCCGCCTGCTGTGCAGGTGGTGCAGCCGGTGGTTGGGTGGTGTACGCCCCGTAGTCCTCCTGGTTGTCCAGCTCACAGTTGCCCGCCTGAAGACGCAGGCGCACCGGACTGCCGCTGCTCAGTTTGGTGGAGGGGCGGCACAGGGAGTGGCTACGACCAAAGCTGTCCGTCAGCACCACCTTGTCGATGTCCCAGTGGGGCAGGCCCTTGCTCAACCACCCACTGTACGACTTGTAGTGCAGGCTCAGTGTGGTGGGGAATCCCAGTGCCGGATGTGGCACAATAATCTTGGACACTATATCGCCGGCGAAAAACTCCGCATCGTCTTTCCTGCAGGTGCATAATGTTAATTGGACTGAAACAGGTAATTTGACTGACTATTTTATCATACTCACTCAGATATCTCGAAGGTCTCGTTGAGACCACCATCTCCCTCGAGGATCGCCTCCAGGCGACCAATGGTGCGCAGTGGCAGGTCGTTGAAGGAGTTGAATATTTGCAGCTGAAACTGGTGGGCACAGAAGGGTTCCTCCTCGCGGGTAAGCAGGTACAGCTGACCCCTGCCCGTCGAACGATCGGCATAGTAGCCCATGTTGCCGCACCTGGGAACACCCTCGGCCAGATCCTCATCATCCTGGGCACAGGGAAAGCATCTGCCCTTGAGGAAGTCATCGTAATTTCCGCAGGGGAAGGCGGGGAACAGGCAGCGTGGCGCCACCGAGTCAATGAAGAACTTGTAGGCTCGTCTGTGGTTGCACAAGGAACGACCCTCCTCGTCCTCTGCAGCCTGGGCAGCTGTGCAAGATTAGGGATCTCAGTCGGCAAAGTATATCGAAAAAGTATTCGCAAAATATACTTACACCATATGAAATCGGTGACAGCGCCTACGAAAAGATTCGAGCAGCCGGTTTGCACCCGACCACCATTGGGATAGTAGTCCACGTGGCCCATCGGTTGCCACGAGCCCAGACCGCCCAGTATCAGATTCTCGCCATTCGAGTGGATAACGTCCACGAACTCCGCATCGTTGCTGTCCAGTCGCACCTTCGGATGCTGGGCCTCAAAAAGTGGACCCGCCGGATCCAGACCTGTGATGCGGGAAAGGCCCGGCAGCTCAGCGCCAGCAAATCCGGATACGTGAGCCCCCAAACTGAATCCAATGACGTGGGTGCGCATCAGGTCGAGACCCTTGTGCTGCTGAAGATTCCTGAGCAGCATGGCCAGCTGCTTGCCAACCAAACGGGTGTTGGCCGCCGCTCTTACATAATTGGGAAAGGTGGCTCCATTCTCCCAGTCCACGCAGATCACAATGCAGTCCTCCTGGAAATGGTTAAGTGGCATTAGGACTGCAACTGAGTACATAAATGAGGACCTTGTGCCGCACTTACCACCGCCATCAGAGCTGTTTTCATCTCGTAAATCCACACGTGCGGGCAGGCCGAACCGAATCCATGGACAATAACCCGCACGGACAGCTCATCGAATCCCTCGAGGTCATCGATTGATGGTGTCGGTTTCTTTTGCCCGCCACCAGGACGTTCTGTGGTGAACGTGCCGTTCACAGCGGCCATGGAACTTGGGGCCGAGCCAACCGATGACCTGCCACTGGCTGGTCCCTCGGGGGAAGAGGTGCTCATCTCCGTTTCCCTCTTGCCACGAAAGGCATTGGTCATGTTCAGGAAGGACAGCTCCATCAGCGGGCGATCGGAACGCTGGCGCGTGGAGTAGAAGTAGAACTTGGTGTTTATCTCCTCCGGCGGCGAGGGCAGCATCTCCAGATAGGCAAACGGGCCGGAATCCTCGAAGCAGCCCAGTTCGCCATAGCAGACCCGTTTCACTGCTCGCCGGGAGCGGTGACCACGACGCACTCGCTCCCGCTGGCGCTCCTCGTGCTCCGCCAACTGATCCTGGACCGCCTGCGATAGTTCCGCAAAATGGGCGGGCGAGGGCGCGGTGGGCACAGTTCTGGCCACTTCCTGGGCGATGGCTATAAATATCCATACAAAGGGCACACAAATGCGAATCAATAGTATATTGAAATGCCATAAATTGCGTAAATACTGCTATGTGCATGGCAAGCACGTTCGTTGCCATACACATTAGATTTATATTCGATTTGGGCGTTTCCAAGTTTGTCACAGTTCATCCCATGATGTTGATGCTTTAAAAACCCATCAATCGGTTAAGCCTTACTTAAAACTTTTCTTCGTCTCACAAATATCTTCATTGTTCTTCGGTAGTATTTAAGGTTTCCCTAAGTTGCATAACTAGTGAAGCCCAGCCCCTAAAGTGCATACTCGTATGTACGTGCTGTGCCCTGATATAACAATCAATTTCCCAAGCCGATAAGTTGGTGACAACAAATTAAAATTTCTTCCAATGACAACGCGTGAATTATTTTAATTTTAATTTTCCGTCTTACGTTTCCACTCAAAACGATTCGAATCGAAACGCACGCCATGCGGATGACATAACTACGCTATTCGTGTGCGGGTTTATATGATGGATCGTCGAAGCGTGATTGCGTTTTTAAAATTCCTAAATACCCAAACACCTTAAAGCCGAATCTAACGAGCTTCTAGGGTTCAGAAAAGGAAATGGGGAAATACTACTGAAAAGCACTTAAGGCGACTATAAAAAATAAATTTAGAAAACTTGACAGTGTTGCACTGAAAGAAGAAACACAGGGTGCGAGTCTATACACCTAAACTGAGTTTCTATTTAAGCCCGATACTTACTTATATACGATTATAAGTTATAAACGTTAACTGAAAAGTTTAAGAAGCAGTTTCTATTATACACGTATGCCGTTTCTGAATGTACTTTACAAATGGAAACATCCAAATGCCAGATCCTCAGATCTTCAAGCCGCGGCTCGGCTCAAGGGTAAACTAATCTTGGCCGCTCTTGGCTTTATTGGTTTTACCTTCGCAGCGCAGTCATTCAGACACTTGTAAGCATAAAAAACTACACGGATGAAAATAAATTCAATTAAATACAAATAAATTTGGACGTAATGTAAATCAACACATTGTCAAAGAAATTGTAAAACACGAGCAATCCATCATAGATTTTACACAGCTCATATAACGAAATTGTTTGTTCTTGGTATTCTTGCAAAGTATTCTGGAAAATGGCTCATTATAAGAATATCTATATAATTACTCGATACATGTGCCATAAAGGCCATTATTTTTCCTGGTGTAACCACCACATATTCCCCCTTGAAAATATGCTCTCTGGACCATTGTGTAATCATCGCACTGAAGTGGTTCGTTAAACATCTTCTCAATTGACACAATCACCGCACCACCCACATAAGTACAACTATATAGCTGCTTATATATACACGTACATGCACTATATGTGCGGAGATAGGTATTAAAAGCAAATACAAGTCGAGCACAAAGTAAATTAGTTAAAGCTTCGCGCCGCCGACTGGCAATTAGTTAATGGAGCCCACAGGGCGTATACTCACCATTTACCGTGTGGCACATGAGCACCGCCAAAATGATGTAGCTGGCACTTAGCATACTGATTTCGTTTGCGGTTCCAGCTGTTCTGAAGCGAACCTCATTGATTGAACTCCACAAGATGTGCCGTCTCCCTGGATATCTCTCTGGCTGAATGGAATTGCAGTGCCCAGTCAGTTGTAGATGTTGGTTGTCTCAATGGTGTTATGCGTCTCTTTCGCTTTGGTAATAGCAAAATATACAATAAGCAAATTCACTTTCACTTATTTGTGAACCTGCCAAGCGACAAAGTCAGAAAAGCAAAGCCAATGTGACTATAACTATGACTACAAATTCGAGTGTCTGACTCACTGACTGACTTAGCCAAAAGGCAGACACCACCGACACCGACAATGTCGCCAAACTCCACTGGGATTGGGTATCGGACCCCTTCGAGTCCACTGATCCACTGTCCAGGTTTCACGTTGCCACTTTGGCTTTCTCCGAGAAGGGAGAGCAGCTCCAATTTGCGACAAGCGGCATTGACTGATTGATGGCCTGATTGATGGCTGGCGATCAGTTGGCTGCAATCAGAAGAGTCAAACTCGTGTACTTTAAACGAATTCGCTACACACAGATAAAATAAGGAAAAATCATAAATCAAGTATTACTCAAAATTTAATATAGTTTGTGTTCGTTGGTGGCATTTGTAAATCTGTCAAATAAATTATTTTAAAAGTGTTTTGCAGAAAGTGTATGCAACACAAATGCCATTAGGACTTGCTTATATTAACATGAACGACAAGTTGTTATTAATGTATTATATATTAATTTTACAAATTAAGCACACAGCGTACAAAAGGTAAATATTTTATATATGCATATTCCCGCATATTTATTTTACTTGTTAGATGGTTATGCAAATTTCCCCCATTTTAGTATGTAAGCCAGCGAATTGCGCTGATTTTTGTTTCGCTCCGTGCAGCCATTTACCATTGTATAATAGGCCGGTTGCAGTGGCGCCCGAACAGGATGTTGCGCATGTGCGACCGTCTCGTGTCGCTTGCAACTCGGATCTTGCAACTTGCATCTTGTGTGCGCGACATCTAGTCCATTGACCTTACACTTGACTGCCGACCAATTCTGGCCGCTAAATCCCGCCCGACCGCTTTTTTGGCCGAATCACACATTTGGGTCAACAGGCAGACAAAGTCAACATTCAAGAGTCGAGTGCCGTCGCCGTTTGTTGACTTTTGGCTAATTTACTCGGCCCCAAATTGCATGAGAAGGGGATGGAGATGTGACTCAGGCAAAGAGCCAAAGCGATGTGACAAACGAAAGTGAAAACCTTTGGCCATAAAAACACCAAACTGGAACTGAAACTGAAACCGACACTGAATATGTATCTGTATCTGTATCTGATGCGGCATCAGAAACCAAAAAACCGCACTTAAGCTGTTTCCCCTATCGATTAACAAATGCGGTCTTCAATCAACAACATTTCACTTTCGTTGGGCGACCAACGTGATCTATCAATTAGCATCTAAAGACCAAAGATTGTGCAACATTTCGAAAAAAAAAAAAACGATTTGGTCAGATACTCGAAACTCAGGAAATTGCCCACCCACGAAATATTTTGTCATTGGTGTAGCAGACAACGAATGCACTTGTTGCAATGCAGCGGATAATTTCGGAAGAATGGTTTGGCAAAGACTGACGATTGCCAAGAATTAACCACATTTGTTATTTTTGCAAGTCGCTAAACCATTAATAATAATGGTAAATGTTCAAAATGTTGCCAAAATACATAAAAACATAAAATGTATAAACAAATATAAATGCAAATTTATATTCTCGGTTAGTCGCCGTTTTCTGGGAAACACAACCATAAAAGATATCTATGTTCAAATGAGCTATCAGATAATTCAAATATTTCCAAGAAGCCTAAGAGGCAAATTATGTTAATAAAACCACAAATATTTAAAAACAGCAAATGTTTTAGTAGGAAATTCGGAATACCCACAGAATACATCATGGAAATTGGAATATACTGTTACGCTTCTAATCAGCTTGAGCGAGAAATTAACCACATCAATTATTCTACAAGAGTCTAGGTAATGCCTGTAAAGCAGGCTAATTTGTGAAAATGTGTGGCATTAAAGAAAGCTTTTCTTGGAGCTGGTCGCATCCTGCTAATAACAATTTCCTCAACTTTCCGTGCCTGCACCGATCACCCCAATAAACTGAGCCCAACCGATGCCAACGGATGCCAGCACATAATTATCATTAAATTGCGGGCTGGAATGGGGTATTTTGGGCCCTTTGTTCGCTTCGGGTCGTGTGAACATTCAAAGCTGATGGGTTCCGGCGAAAAGCGAAATTAAAAGACGAGTACCGTTAAAGAATAGAAAGACTGCAAAGACGAAGACAGGTGAAGTTTCTGAGAAAGCGAAGACAGACGTCAGCATCAGCTCGAATATCGCCAACAAAATGGAAAGTAACGCACAAAATAATGCTTCTAAGGCGACTTTCGCATGGGCTCCATCAGATGTTGATTTTTATGCGACTTTACCCGTATACAAATGTACAGGTATATATGCATGTATATATATGGAGGCGACAAGCTGGTGGTGCTGCGGCCAACGCTTCCACTTTCAAATAGATTAACCCAATTTGGCGGCTCCGACGCTTTCCGCTGCTCATTTTCGCGTTTGGCGGCTAATTCAGCTCATTACGAAGAACGAGCGCCTGTGATCTCTGAACACGGAGAAAAGATGCAAGTACTTACACTGATAAACTCAGAATGCACAGCAAAAAATGTTAAATCATATAATATATAGCAGTTTATTTATTGCTTGTATCCACTTTAGTTGTGAGCCTTGTTGAGCCAATATTTGTGCACACTATTGATTTTTATCTATGTGTAGGTCCCATTTGAATGGGAAAAAGTGAGACGAACTGAGAACTGGCTGGGAAAGTCTGCAAATCGATTGAGAAAACCGAACCATGCCAAAGAAAAGTGCAGTTTGTAGCTGCCTGCCGGGGAATGGAGTGTTTTTCTGTATTTTCTACCTCATGACCGACCGTCCGTCCATCCGGCGGAATGTCTCATTAAACTCTGGACGTGAGCCAAACGAATGGCGGACAATGGAAATGGCCACTCTCCATTGCCAAACACCAGACGGCGAGAAACAGAAAAATAAAACAACACAAAACTAAAAACAATAATACCAACGCATTGTCTTCGCCTTGTGTCTTTGTGCAATCGAAATTCGCATGAAGCCATTTGATCGATTTGTCAAGCCAAAGAAATAAGGACGGATGGTACAAGTTTGTATGTGCCCATGTCAAAAGAAGTCGATAAAAAACAAAACAAATCTCAACGCAATAGTTATAACTTTTATTATTATTACTCCATGCTCGGCAAGTCCATGCCAAGAAATCGAACAGATTATGAAGAAATCCATAGTGATTTATAGGTTCCCGGTTTAATTTTGCCAACTTTTTTGGCCATAAAAGCTGCGAAGCAATCGAAGTTTGCATGCAATTTAAAAGCTACGAATTGCTGATTTAACATTCTGACTATAATAATAAGCTCCAAAAAAAGATATTCAATTGCTGGGAATTATTACACTTGGGTAAGCAAGTCGAGGGTATTCCTGTCTCGCTTAACAATATTTCATTTTTTTGATCAAAATGCCACTTGGCAAGCGAAAGACTTAGGCAACGAACTTGCCACCGATGGCTAACGCCTGATTGCAATCGCAAGAAACAAGCGCTACATTAAAATGAAGTAAGGAAAACCCAAGCCCCAAAAATACGTAGCCAATTTTCGCATGGCAGCATAAAATAGTTTCCTGTTTGTTACGACGGACCCAGCAACTTCAAAAAAAAAGGGAGGAAGCCGATCCGATTCAAGTCGACAGCCAAAAGCTGGGGCAAGAAAATATAACGAAAACCAGCAGTGCATAAAGTTTCCGCTCGCGTCTTTGGGGATTTTCAACCCAATGTAGGCAGTGCACTGCGAGAAACTAGCACAGCAAAAATATAATAATAATTAAAAGTAATACAAATAGAATCTAACGTTTTATAAAATTGTATAACCACAAAAAAGTGAACCAGCTATAGAAGCATTTTGAATATATCATAGAGCAACAACTTTGTAAAGTGTAGTTTTTGGATAATAATAAAGCAAGCGTTTTTTGCTATTGCTCGTGAATCTGCATTAACTACAAAAGCAAAGGAGGTCAGCTTTGGGCTAATTTTTTTTCGATGCACCTTTTCATAGCTGCTGCAAGCAATTAGCGGCGCCTATTTGTGGTCGTTTTCGAGGTGCTTTTTATGCCTCCCGAGGCGCAGAACTTTTTTGTGGGGCCACGCAACTCTCATTGGCGATGCAGAACAGCAGCAGCGGCTTATAAACAATAAGCAATATTCCATAAATCAACTGCTTGCAACGGCGGAGTGGTACAACACCAAAAAACTAGCACAATTACATGCATGCAATGGACTTGGCTCACAAGTGTACATTGTACCCAGGTGACACAGTTTTCGGGAACACAGTATACACAGTATACTCATACTCCGAACCCAAATACCAGCACTCTTTTGTCATTTCCCGGCGACAGCATCAAGTTGCCAGTTATGGTTCATGGAACGAGTTGACCTAATCAGGCGCTGCTATATCATTTCTAGTCTTATGAAACTTTCTGGCCCAGTTACCCAACGACAATGAGTTATTCATCTGACAAAGAAAAGCAGAGAGAACCACCAGAATGTATTTGCTAGACCAGAAATAATAGTGACCTATACACACAAAATCCCAATCAAAAAATGATACTATGAAGCATCATAACATGGCAAATTATGTATATGAGAGACATATTAATATGTTAAGAAATATATATGCATCTAAAATCAGGTGTCTGTGCATTTTTCTAGAGAAGTCACTTATCTTATCTTATCAGTTGAGCAGAGTTTTCCCAGAATCTTAGCTGGAAAATCTGGAACTCTGACTTATCTTTGGCTTTCCACTCACACGGCCAGTTTAATGACAGTCGCAATTAACACACCAGATTAAAAAAATTATTCTTTTTAATTGTGTGCCACGCTCCGCTTTGTCAAGAACAAAAGAAATTTAATTTGCTTGCGCTGGTTTTTTATGGTCTCCTTTCCAGGCAATTATATTTTTCATTACTGTGAACTTCTGGTAATAGACAAGTGAAAAGGTGAAATATAACAAGCGTATTGAAGTTTAAAGCCGAAATTGATGTAAGTGTTCAAGACAAGGGTAAACACATTTAACGCAGCTATTATCCAACAAATTATGCTTAAATCACTTGGGGAAATTTTCCAGCGTTTAGCAGACATAATGCCCATTTGCATTTAATGATATGCGTGGTAAACGACCTTGTTCCTCGGGCCAATCGATCCAATCAACAACCAACAAGCAAATGGAGTTGATTGTTCGCTGGGTCTTCGATCGGTTTGTTTTGACTTCAAATGCAATTCAAAATGGGCAGGCACGAAAAGAAATAGATGTAGTTTCTCGTTTTAAGGTTGGAATAAAATTCAGAGCCCTCTCATATGCTCTTTAATTTCCAAAGTACAGGCATGGATATTGTTTAATTGATTTCACCCCCTTTCCATTTAATTTCGATACAATTTGAGTTCACTTTTTGTATGACAATCAACTGTCTGAAAGAAAACCATGTGATAAAAACCACTTAGCTAAATTTGCATATTTATACACTAATAATAAGCAAGTTAGTGGATGAAAATGGCATATAAATAAATTAGAAACCACCCCTTGTATGCACCGTTTTCTTTCGGTGCAATGTGCCACTGAATTGACCAAATACAAATTTGTAAGCCAAATTAATATAATTCATTGCTGTTGGCCAGTGGCATTGGTGGAATTTTATGCACTTTAATTGTGGAGCACACACAACAGATCTTAGTCATAAATTTTAAGTTGGCGTTTTGCTTGGATTTCAACTTTAAACTGTATGATTTGACTTTTGTTTATTGCTCTTGGAGATTTTTTCCTTTTGTTTTTTTTTTAGTTGTTGCTGGCGGCGACAATTCGTGTCAATGTCAGCATGATTTTTAGTTTTTTTCTGATTCACGAGGGTGGGCCGAGGGGTTGGGGGTTCAGGTGTTGATGTTAATGCGTGTTCAAACAAGTTTAATCGAATAATGCATAATATGCACCTGGTGGCCAGAAGAAAAACCAAACAAACTGGATGCAAGCAGTGCAGTGCGAGAAGTGCAAGCAGTGGCACACTCGAAGAAAAACGTCAGTGGATACGATGATGAGGAAAGCCATTTCATGCGCATTACTCAGTCAGTTGGACACATATTTGAGCCGCAAGAAATATGCATTTCTGAAATAGTTTCGCAAAACGGCGACTGACACAAAAACAGTAGCCCAAAATATAAAGTGAAGCACGCAAAAACATTGGTAAAACGATGCGAATGTGGGGAAAAGACAGAGTCACCAACAACAGAAATACCAACAACAACATTACCAAATATACATAACTACACAGCAAATAACAACAAATCATGTGAGTTCGGCTGCTGTGCGGCTTCAACTCGACTTCTTCTTCATTTCGCTTATTTGAGACCCGGCTCACGGTTTTCACCTGAGGAGCGTGAAAGTTGCGCTTCGCCGGGGCAGCAGCAGCCCATATGCACTGGGAGAAATGTCTATCTACTTTTGTTGGCCCTCCTAACAGCGCCCCTTCAAGTCCACTACATGATACTAGCATCAGCACCTACACAGTTGCTATATCTCAAAGGATAAGTAAGTAAATAAGTATATCTAAGCATTTTGATACTAATTAATTTTCAAATACTATTGAATAATTAGCACAGAAGATAGGACTTTAGTAACACTTTATCGAAACTACACAATTTTACTGTATACTTAGTAACAAAAACACTTTTTACGTTCTATATATTTTTAGGATGTACATGGATGTACATTTTACAAAATCCACAAAGTTAAAAACTCACAGATGTATCCTAATAATCCCTTTTTTAATTTATAAGAAAAATATTAAAAAAATGCTGCTATTTATTAAATACATTTATAAACATGACATTATTTTATATCGAGGTAAATAGTGAATATTATCCTCTGTGCACCACAGACCGCACTTAAAAAAAAAGATATCAAATAAGGTGTGTAAAGTAAGGGCCGGGCCCATGAGCCAGGTAATTAATGCACCTTTGAAAAACAAAAGCCACTTGCACGCCAAACAAAACAAAAACAAATCACAACAAATACGCACTTTTTTTCGTATCTGGGCTCTATCACGCTTTTCACAAGGCTGCGCAAAACAAACCGAGAAACTTTGTTGCCGTGTATTGCCGCGCAGACGACGGAGATGCACTCACGTAACGGAACTGCCGAGGTGCGGGCGAAATATAGCGAAAAAGTATAGCGGACCGATCCCACAATTTTCCAACCTCTAGCCTTTGCGGCCGAAGATCAACTGAAACTCTGGCTCAAAGCCACTCACAATCCGAACGCGAAAACTCTGCGATCCGAAGGCGAAGTCGAAAAGCCGAGGCCCACAATCACTGCTCGGCTGCTTTCGGCATCGCACAGTGGAGCAGATGGCCAAAAAATGTGAGCTTACAATTGAATTAATAATATAATTCCTTTTGAAAATCGAGTATTTATTAAAATGGCCACCACGCATCTTTCGACTAGGCTATATTAAAAATACCTTTTAAAACTCTCAAATATTTTATTTTTTTTAAATATTTTAACTTCATTTTGATAGCAATTATTTTCGATGAACTGAAATGGTGACAAAATATGAAGAACTATTTTAATCTACCATCAATAAGTATTTTAAGAACTATTTTAATATACAATCAAAAAAGATATTAAGAACTATTTTAATCTACAATCAAAAAAGATATTTTCAAAAGAAAAATATATTCTAAAAATATATAAGGATGCGAAGAGCAGTAAAATAATCATGCAATTTAAGTGTAAGAAATATGTGTCGAATAATTAGGCCATGGAAGCAAGTACTCATTCCAGCAAGTTTCTCAAGTTTACTTTATACAAATAAATCAAGGCCCACTGTGCGCTAACGGTCGCCGCTCGCAATATGCCCGATATCTGGCCGATCGGCCAGAAACGAGCGTACATATGCTGGTGGGCCTTTGGCGGTGCAGAAAGATCTTATCGCACTTGGCATGTGGGGCATGTGCGGCTGAGACTCAGGCATTCTTTTACGCCAGTTTACACCGAAATCGCTGGCACTCTCTTCGCGTTTTCTTCAGTCCGTCCATCTGCCACCCACCCACCTGGTGGCTTACATTGAAATGGGGTCATTTGCGGTGGCGGGGATTCCCCGCATCGATTCACTGGCAATTGGCATTCCCGGGATGTCGTTATAGTATACTCTTTTCATTTTTATTTCTGGTACGTTACAAGTTAAATAGGTTTGCTCGGCTGCACTAAAACTCCTCCAACTGCTCCTGCTCCTTTTGCTTCTGCTTCTCCTCCTCCTCCTCCACTGCTTGATGCTGTTCTGGTCAGGTGTCCGTGGCAAGTCCGAGTGGCAAATGTTGCGCAAGCGCGTCAGACACTCATATTGCGTTCGGTTTCATTTTCAGGCTGGATTTCGGGTTTCTTCTATCGCTTAACATTAAGAGTACAAAAATACATTGACTTTGTGATAGTATGATTACAACAATCCACAGATCCACCCACAAATCGCTCACTGCATGTACCTCATCTCTGTAGCAATCGCACGACAAATTTGAATTACAATTTAACCATATATCGTATGTATACATTATATATGTAAAAAAAAAAAAATGTTTAAGGAGAGCCAGAAGTAAAACGTGTTTGAATTTATGCAATAGGCAACAATTAGAATTAGCTGGTGGTGCTGACGATTTCGATTGGGCATCGTGTCTAGCCCTCCTGCCCAAAGTCCTCTGTGAATTTGCGCAGCTTCTTCAGATCATCTTCGTTGACTGTGGGTTTCGTGCGGGACAAGGACTTGAGCATGTCGCGCTGGATGGGAAAGTTCAAGAAAGATTAAAGGCACTGCGAAAAATGTCGATAATTAAGGATGCCGTACCATGGTCACGGGCGGTTCAAAGAGCTTGTCGCTGGGCACATCCATCCAGTTCATCTCGACGGCACCCTCGTCGCCAGGAGAGCACGGAACCAGCAAATCGTTGACAATCTCCTCGTGGTTGGTGGGACTCGGACCGGATACCCGCTTGAAATGCGTGGCGGTCTGCACTTTCCTCACCGGTTCCATCAGCGCATCGCGCACCACGATCGATATATCCGCGCCAGAGTAGCTGAAAAACAAGAAGTCAATGTGTGCTTATTATAAGCAATTTTGTAAGCACTGTAAGTGCTTATAAATTTCAATAAAAAACGTATTTACCCCTCGGTTTTGCCGGCCAACTCCTTGAGATCCTGCTCAGTGAGCACGTGCGTGGTGTTGCCCAGATGGATCTTGAACATGACGAGGCGGGCGTGAGCCTCCGGCAGCGGAATGTAGATGCGCTTCTCGAATCGCCGCCGAATGGCCGAGTCGAGAACCCACGGTATGTTTGTGGCACCGAGGACGAGAATGCCATCGGTGTCATTGCCCACGCCCTGCATCTGCACCAGAAACTCGGTCTTGATGCGCCGCACGCTGTCGTTCTCGTTGTCCGATCTCGCCGAGCACATCGAATCGATCTCGTCAATGAAGATTATAGAGGGCTTGTGCTGGCGGGCCAGTTCAAAGAGATTCTTGACCAGCTTTTCGGACTCGCCCAGCCACTTGGACATCAAATCCGAGCTGGACACCGAAAAGAATGTGGAGCGATTGGCCTCCGTGGCGACAGCCTTGGCCAGATAGGATTTACCGGTACCGGGCGGGCCGAACAGCAGGATGCCCTTCCACGGAATCCGCTTGCCGGTGAACAGCTGCGGGAATTTAATCGGCAAGATAACGGCCTCCTTCAGCGCCTCCTTGGCGGCATCCAGGCCAGCGACATCGGACCACTGAACCTTTGGCTTCTCTATGACAATGGCGTCCTCCAGCTTGCTCTGCAGCTTCTTCTTCTCGGGATCATCGCCGTCCTCGTCGTCGCTGTCGCTCTTTTTGTCCTTGTCGTCCTTGGCACTGGACTCGCCGCCCTCCTTGATCGGTTTCTTTTTGCCCTTCTTCAGGTACTCCTTCAGCTTCTCGGCCCGGTCCAAATACTGCAGGCACTTGGCCCGTATCGAGTCCTTGGCCTTCTCGCCCTGCGCCTCATCTGTTCGAAAGATCGCAATTTTATAGTTAGAAGGAGTTAACTTGCTTCTATTCAGTGAGTATAAATGCATGTACTCATAGACTGCTTACATTTGATGGTGTGCAGGAAGTACTCCACTCCGTGCTCATACAGACGCAGTGCCTCCGCATAGTTCTTATTTCGATCCTCCTCGGTGGCCTTGGTCACCAGATCGATGGCCTTCTGTAGTGTGGTTCCGGCTGCCATGGTGCTGGAAGACATAAGCGTTCAGACATCGTTATTTCTACTGGCATTTTAATGGATAATTTTAATACAAAAGGAACTATCCACTGAGGCTTAACTTTTACAACTTTTTTGAATAATAATTACCATCTAATTTTATAGCTAAGAGTTGAGAAGTAAAGGTGCCCAAAAGTATGTGGATAAATCGATTTGTGCCAGATGGAGTAAAATGTAAATATAGTAGGACTATAGCGATGGTCCTCAAACATGTTTTAAAGCTATAGTTACCCTATCGATTTATGCAAAAATCAACTGGATCTGGTCTATTTATATCCACAGATGGCTTTGCACTCACTATCACTACCCGATACTACAACTCATATGGGATGCCAAACTCCCCGAACATAATGGCTCCACAGAACATTGTGGGTTTTTGGATATATTTCGGGTTATAATAGCCCCTCCCCATGGGGATTTATCCTCTCACCGTGAGTTTCGCTGGCAAACCGATGGCGATGATAACCCAATTAACCCTTTGGAGGAGTGGTAACTCCTATCTTGCTGCCCAGTGTCCTTCGGTGACGCAGTTCGCGAGCAAAATCGAATTTCTGGGCATGACTAATGCTCGAATACAGCGGCATTGACAAAAACAAAAGTAGTCGGGTTTTTGCGGGGCTGCTGCGGAGGGGATGGCGGGGCAGTTCCGGGCATTACTCACATTTATGCTGGCTGACTTGCTCCTGAAATCCCGGCAATCGTCGCTGGTCAACTCGCTGGCTGTTCGACAGGTGTTAAACAAAAGGAAAACTTAACTATTTTGTTGGAATTCCAACGCGAATGACGACGTCTTGTTTTTTTTTATTTGTCAGTGTGACCACAGCGGGGGCCAGGCCATAAACCGAGGTGCAGCTGCCATGGTCACACTTGAAAAGATGAACTCCCTTGGCGCGCTTTTAAACTCCATCTAAAATGCACCCTCATTCTCTTGTAAATACTATTTCTGAATGTTTGTTAACATTGTAACAATGTAAGCTTTACAAGCACTCTTTATATATGGCAATTGGTTTATATTACTTCATTTCGTTTAAAAGTCGTCAGTAAACATTTGTTATATGACTAAGTGTATAGCACACGATATGCAATAGTTTTACCTCGTCAAAAGACTAAAACAATACTAAATTCCATAAGTAAATGTATATTAGATTGTAATCGCCATTAATAGCTGACTTTAGCTTTTTTCCACAGCGCTGGCAATCGATAACGATAACACATTATCGATACGCGCAATTAAAATGTTTATGTAAACAGTTTGTTTTTAAGACTCCTAATTTATTAGCAGTTAGGCGCATAAGTTACATTGTTTGAATTCACACAAATCGAATTCAATTGATTTTTAGGAAACCCAGTTGCCAGCCGTTTTTGCTTCAGGGGAACCAGATAACCTTGTCATATTACCCAATTTATCGAAAACCAAACGTGCAATAGAACTTACGCCATTCCAAAACCATAAACAATCAGTGATTAAGTACAGTGAAGACAATGGCGGAGGACAAGCAGTTCATCCGCCGGGATAAGGACACTAAGAAAACTTCCACGGCTGTGCAGGATGTGGACATCTACCGGGACACCTTTATTCGCTATATGGGTAAGTAATCCTCCGATTGATCCATCGAATTGTGAGTTTGAATTTTCCCGGTTTTCCAGGCTACAGCAACGAGATTGGCGAGTCCTTCCGCCCGCTGGTGCCCAAATCTCTGGTGGCCGCATCCTACGGCATGGCCATCGGATATGTCTGCACGGACACCTTCGACAAGGCACTGCGCCTCCAAATGGAGGGGGCTTCCTCCAGAGAAGTGGCCGTCAAGGGCGGCGACGTCTTCTGCTGGCAGATGCTGGCCTCCGTCGCCATTCCCGGCCTGGTCATCAATCGGTGCGTTCATCCGTTGCCAGATAAATACCCAAAAACGTAGACTCAATGGTTGTTGCTGGAAATAGGAAATGAGGCGTCTTGAGGTTCCATTTTTCCATTAGTTGCATAATACTTATCTTATATTAGTAAGCATGGTAATAATTAGATTACCATCCTATAGTACAATGGCATGTGCAATGTTGCAAAAACAGGTTTATTGCTTAAAATCGACTTTAATTTTGTGCTGCTAGATTGCCAGTGAAGTCATCGTTCTCGCCAAGTTGTTACAACTTGTGCGCGGGTATAGGTATTATTAGCAAGGCCAAAGCAAGCAACCCATTTGTATACGTGAGATTCACATAATAAGAAATACTCATTGATATCGTTTTAGAATCACCTGGGCCACCAAAACACTGCTGAGCAAAGCGCCGATGCCCGTGCTGAAGACGGTGCCCACCCTGGTGGGCCTGGCCAGCATCCCGCTTATCATCCATCCCATCGACAGCATGGTGGACCGCCTGATGGACGCCACCTACCGCAAGACGGTGAGGTAGTGAACGCCAACATCTGCCCAGCTCCTATTCTACTCCACGGTGATAGTTCTTAGGTACTAAGAGTTTACATAAACTGTAGCAAAGCTTTAGCCCCAAATCCAGTTTGCATATTGACAAGGATTTGTTTGGTTTTACGTTTTGTTTATTGCCATTTGGGCGGGAAAAAGAGTGAAAAATTTACAATACGCTTTACAAAAATTATCATGTAGACTGAGGCAACAGGTGGAATGCCGGCGTTTAAAGCCTTTATCTCACAAAGGATCCTACTTCTGCTCATTCTCGTCATCATCGCTGTCAATCAGATATGGACTGTCCAGGGCGCCCAGACCGGCCGCCACGCCTCCCTCGTTGGCGGTTGAGAGCTTTGTGCGCAGCATGTGTCCCGCCTGGTAGTTGTGCACAATGTGCTCCGCATCTCCGATCACCACACCGAAGATGCCCAGCTCGGAGACCATGTCCACGATCTGGGGCGGCATATCGGCACCGGGCCGCACCATGTAGCCCTTGGTCAGCGGCGGATGAATCAGATCCATCAGAATCCAGGCGGAGCGCTCCACGCGTGACATGCGCTGAAAGAAGCAAGGACAAAGATTTCAACAATTTCTTCATTGCCTTCAACCACAAATCTGGTTCAATTAAGCTAAGCTTACTAAGAAAATAGGATAACTTACCTTGAGGGCATCGGGTATATCCACGCCGTAGACGTTATTACCACCTCCCTCGCGCTGCGGCTTCAGCACGAATCTCTCCGGAGTGCGCAGCGCCATCTCGTAGGTGGCATTGCCCGCCTCGTTGTCGTCCAGCGAGTAGAGACCCGTGAAGATCTTGCCCACCGCCTTGATCTCATCCGGATCGTTGATGAAACGCTCGAGCACCGCCGGCTGGGCCAGTGCCTGCTGCACCTTCTTGGTGCCCGCCAGATGGTAGTGGATGGAGGGGCACTTGATGGCCAGCGAGGTCTCCATCAGGTAGCGGGCATCCCACTCCGCCTGCGAGTGATAGTGTCCGGGCTCGTAGCCAGCTCGGAAGTAGATGACGGCCACCTCTTGGGATCCACTGTGGCATGGCAAGCATGTTAGTTGAAGGATCGTTTGCATAGTCGTAGTTCTGATGCATGTACACTTACAGAAGCAGCTCCTTGGACTGGCCCAGTTTGCCCTCCCGATGGACCTCGGTGAGGGTGCGACGCAGCACCTTGATGTGCGGATACGTCTCGCGAATGTAGAACTCGTGGAAACGCTGATCGCAGATATTGTACGACACATCCTCGATGATGAACAGGATCACGGCCTTTGGCTTCCCATAGATGTCCCACGCCTTCACCATGCCATCGCAGAGTCCGGCCAGGGCATTGTTATCCGGCATCTGCAGCGGGTTTCAAGCAAATCATTTAAGTTGTCTGATTAAGTACTATAATAGTTACTGAACAAAATAGCCAGAGCATAAATTGAATTGATCATTAATTGAATTAATACATTTAGTAGCTGCATAATCTTTGTTATGGTACATTTAGGTACATATATGATCAATATAATAGATGTTCGCAGCTTGTAGAAGTGTGTATAACTTTTAGATACTCACATTGTGCAGCTTATCCGCATGTCCCAGCTCGCTGAGTACAAATCTGCGCGGGTGAAAGAGACGGGGAGTGCCGGAACAGAAAGAGAGATATTAGCATAATTCGGCAGTCTCCTAACAACCAACAACAGCAACAAACAACAACAAATGTTCGGGGGGAGGGAGTCAAATAGGGGGTTAATTACTGAGACCAAAACCACTCAATGGGTGGATGGGGGTTAGGGAAAGGTGGAAGGGGGAAGGGGGGTTACATGTGAATGCCAAAAATGTCAAGCTACAGCGTGTGAAAAGAGACGGATAGATAGGTAGCCATAACCCATCAAACTGCATGCAGAGAGGGACAACAAACGTTAGAGATGGGACCTCTAAGGTGGATAAGTGATCAGTGATCAGTGGTCAGCGATTAGTGAGCAGTTCGTGCGTGAGTGGGAGGAGGGTGGGTGGTAGGAAGACAGGTGTATGCTTTTCTTTTAGAGGTGTGTTTGTGCATTCGTGCGTTTGGTAGAGATAGATAGATAGATAGATAGAGAGAGAGAGAAGAGCGCTTAATACTTCTGCTGCGGCACCAATTGGGTGGCTATGCCAGCGAAACTGGAGGCCACCGTGTTGATCTCGACCTGCTTTATCGCACAGCCCTCGGACACGTGTGCCATATAGTCGGATCGCAACAGACCGATGCTATATGCCTGCAATTATGATCATTATACAAGATATATACATTAGGTGCGTCCCTTAAAGATTAGCTGCTTAGCCGGTAAAGCGTTTTAAAAAAAATACATATGTGGTTTGCATATATCTAGGTATGGTGTGTGATCCTCGTCCGTAGGTCTTATAGCATATATAGGATGAGGCAGGTGCGGATTCTTACTTATATATTCAGAAAGAGAGAGGCGAAAAATGGTGCAAGATGGGTACAGTGAAACGATGCTTCTCCCAATGCTACTGACTCTATATGGTCAAGAAATTTGTAGGGCAAAGTAATGAAAGTCTAAAGTTTCGCCCCAAGCGACGCCAGTTTCATATCGTTTTAATATTACATATTTTTGATCTGACTACAATCTGTGTACTGTTCATTCTTTAAGCAAAATAAACCTATTTTCCATTTCATAACAAGTGTAACTAAGCATGGCGAAGAAGAAACGAGTTTTTAGCCCGCAATCATTTGCAGCTGGTACTTTTACTATTAAACAAGCATGCTCTGATCTAATCTGTTTATAAATTTGCTTACGTCACCATTGCTGACAATTAAACAAATAGATAAACAGCTGAAAACTCGAACCGTATGAGCAAGTGTTTTGGGTTCTAATATTTCATAGGTTGAGCCAAGCACAAGTAATCTCGGTTTTTCGCAAACTCGCTCGAATTTGTAATTGAAGACAAAATGCTCGGCTTCGTGTCCACATTCTGCACCCAGAAATGCACTTATTGGGCTCTTATCGCTCTCGCCTCCACTTTAAATAAACAATTACCAGGCGTATCTATATCAGATACCCATTCCTATTCCTATCTGTAATACTATCTGTAGTACAGCTGTGGGCTCTCCATGTGGGGCTTCATATACATGTGTGTTTCGTCTACAAAGTTTGGCTATCGAGTAGTCGCGAAAATGTAGCCCTGAGTTTACTATCTATGAGTAAAAACTACATTTAAATGGCCTGTTCCAAACAGAATTGTGACTAAATAACCCAGGCGCACAAGTTGTGAAATGTACGATTAGGGCCTTTACTGATTACAAATGACAAATTACAATAATGTATCAAGCAAAGAGTTTATCAGATCTTGTGATAGCGCTATCTCTACAACTTCTAGAAAGTATATATATACTTTGGCTGACCTCTGACCTATACGCCCCAAAAGTCTGCACGATAAGTTGGAAGAGTAAGCGACAGCAGAACGGACAATCACTGACGGGAGTGGAGATTATTAAGCGGGTTAGCTGCTACGTTTGGGTCGGGAGGAGCAGGTGTCGGGATGCAGGATGCAGGGTGCAGGGTGCTGGATGCAAGGTGCCAGGAGGCAGGAGCAGAGCAGAGCAGTTCGGGTACAGAGCAGGCAGGAGGCAACGGGCGACAGGCAGCGTCAGCAAACGAAAACTCTAGGCGACAAACTCGAGTGCGCAACCAAAAAGGAGGGCATTTAGGCATGTCACCAAAGGTTTGTAGCTATGGTTAATCATAAATACATTTCTAAGGAACAGTGGAACAAAATCAACTTCAACTAAAGTACAAAGGACTTTACAAAGCAACACACACAAAAGCACACACTACGACATATGTTTTACGAACGAATGCACAAGGGAACATTCTTGTTCAAATGTAACTTAATGTTTACGGAGTGTTCGCTACGTTACTTCGTTTTAACTCAGATCTATCTCTAAAGTAGTGGTTTTTCTTCTCGGATACGGAAGATTCTTTCGATTGACGACGTTGAGCGTTCGTTTGCTGATTTCAAATATGCGATCAAATGCAATTTGATTCGCGAGTCGAGAGTTAGTGTGTGATTTTGAGCGGTTAGGCGGAGTATGCAAGCGATTCAGGAATGCAGATATGCGATGAGATGATCGGGTCATGGGAGGAATACTGGGTTTTTTGGGAGTGTTGCTGATGATGGTGTGGTGCGATGTTGCACTGATGCACTGTGCGCATGAACGGCACCTTTGTATGGTTTTACTTGCTGGTCCCAAGTGGCCAAAGCCCGATGCTATTGTATTGATCTCGACTTGCTTCCAGCAGCAGTAAGCGGATTGAGCGCTGGTCGCCCTCCGTTCCCGCTCTTTGGTGGCCCGGCTCAGCTGGACCTCCCTGTGCTCCTTCTGCTCCTGATGTTCCTCCTCCTTGCTGCCCGTGCCAGCGGCAGCTCCAGCTCCTTGCCCCACAGCAGCGCCCGCATCCTGACCACCATCCTCACCAGCCGCCGATCGCAGCGCCCGTGGCGACAACTCTGGACAGCCGGACTCCAGCATCAGATCGCTGCGCAGCATCCCCAGCGATGTTTTCTTTCAATCATTTTTCGTAGCACAGCGATGCAATGAGTGACGGATAATGGAGCAACAGATTGCGTTTGAGATCGAGAGTTTGTACAATTGCGTGGTTAGGTTTTAAATTTTTCAAGGATTGGTGGCGAGAGAAGCACAGATCGTGAAATAAATTTGGCACAGAAAGCAAATTTTGCTAAACTAAACTTTATATTCGGGGATGAGAATGATTAAGTTGCAAGTAAAAACCAAGCTATTTACACTAAAAATCATGGCCAAAATCAACAAGTATAGTAATTTTATAGATCCAATCATTTAAATTGAGACTTCGATAAGATTTGAGACAAGATTGAATAGTAATAAAATGAAAATAGCCCCGTCAAAGTTATATTTAATAAGCCCTATCAGTTACTGAGCCAATAACTATAATTATACAAATTATAAAAATGTCACTTTTCTGATATGATCTACAAAGATTAAACTTCTTGCGACGTGAAAGAGTTCAAAGAATTCAAAGTTATCGCACCTGTGCAGGTTTCGTTAGGGGAAATGAATGTAAATCAAACTAGAAAGAGCAATGGCAATGGCAAAGGGCAAAGGGCTAGCGATATGGGGGTCAGGGATGGGCTGTTCTACGTCGATTTACAAGCCAACGATAAGGAGCTGCGAGTCCAGGATGCTCGCATAAATCACGCCAGATTAGCGACAACAACCGACTTCTTGGGTGTGGCTACGGCTATGGATATGGCCAGGCGATTTATGGAGGGGCGATTAGATTGCGACCGCGGGTGGAGGGGCCCAATAAATTCTAGCGAGTAACCCACTGGCTGCCTGTAGATGTGCTCCCGATGGGGATGAGGTGGATACGTTGGTGGGTGTTGGTGATGGTGATGTGCAGGGCGGAGGATCGGAGATGAGTGAACGCTCAGCTGACGGAATCTCACCTGGGTGAATCCGTGCGCTAGCACCTTGCGATAGATGTTGAACAGATTGGCCGTGAACTCGTCCACTTTGATTGTCTCCGCCAGCGTCGTCGTGATGAACTCCTCGTCGTGGGCCACATTGTGCATCAGCCGATTGATGATCGGCTGCAGGGCCACCGCCTTCTCGAACTCCTTGCGCGGAAACGAGGAAGGCACCAGCACAAAGGGCGCGAACTGCAAAGGATTGGGTTTAGTATCCAGGCAAACTGCAATGTAAACACGCTAGCTTGAATCTCGATTAAATGCTATCACATTGGTATGCAAACTAGTTGTTCAAAGTTATTCATATTTTGCTACTGCAAATAAAATGGAAAATAAACTCAAACGTCTAATCACATTTTGCATTACACATAACTACAAATTACTTGAATTGTTCATGAAATGAAATGAATATTTAAAATTGCTGTGTACAAAACTGACTCAGAATAACAAGATACAGCTCTTCTATTGAAAAGTAGCTCCTTGAGTCCAGAATACACTATATAGCGTTGCATATGAACAAGAACCAGCAAAACCTATGCACCATAGCATTGGATTCCAGCTCTCACTAGCGAGTCCCCACTGTACCACCCACATTCAGCGAGTCCGGACTGAAGGCCGTCTTCGAACGCATGGCGGCGCCGTGCATGATGGCATAGTCCTTGGCCTTGGCTGTCACCTCCAGGAGCTCGTCCTCCGCCAGCGGCAACCGGATGCAGTTGGGCAGGACGGGCGTATTGGCGTCGCTGGACATGATCGGTGTTCGTCTAGTGGGGTCGGCTGGTGTAGGATCTAGAGCTCAGCTGCGTCTGGAAATGGCAAAATTTCTTGTTAAGTTGTTGTGCTCGGTTATGCCGCACCAGTCGCGGCCCGTGGCCATGTATCTCACGGGGTCTGCTCGCCGGAACTGCTCGCTGGGCACTGAGCGCTGAACGACTTGTGCTGCCTACTCACCACTGCTGGAACCGCTGGAAACTCTAGAAACTCTGCAACTGCGGCGGTGTTATCTCTGCGCTCCCAATTTCGTCACGCTCAACGAGCGATTGTTGTGGCTTTGCCGCTGGTTTCCGTGGTGACGCTCCTCCTGTTCCACCGGTTGCACTGGCAATTTGTACACCGTAACGATTGGGGTTGGGTTTTCAATTTACAATTTGGCCAAACGCCCACGGGGGAAAATATAAATCTGTTTTTAGGTTTCTAGTATTTCTGTCTGAATCTCTGCAGTGTGACCGCAGCGGGGTGCGGCGAAAATACCAGCCGGTGGAAAGCCATATACCGCAATATGCCAGATTACTGGCAGTAAAAACACCACGGGGATACACTGCGAGATAAGCTTAGCAAGTACACGTTACACGTCACGCGCCCGAAACCATCCTTTACATCCTGCAGTCCTTCCACGTTCGATCGAAATTCTGGGAGGCATCGTATCGTTTTTATATGGTTAAGCAGCCAGTCGAAATCCTCGCATTTTCAGCTTATAAATGCCACTTTTGGGCATTAAGCTGCAAGTTTAAGTGTCCACATAAATTCGTGCTGTGGAAAAGGTCTTGACTTTGCACAGCGATAAATGTGGTAGACTTTTTAGACATTCATTTCAAATAATTTGGAATTTATTGTTTGAGAAACACGCAGTTTATTCAAAATATTGTGACCAAATAAATGGTATTTTTAATCATTGTGCGCCTAATTATATTCTCACAGTGCCACAACTTTAGGATCCTCAACTGTATAATTTTGCAATTAAATTAGGTCACCATTTTACAACTGCATTAATATGTTCTAATTAAAACCGGTAATGAGCCACAGTTAAGTTGCCGGTAAATGGAAATGAAATTTTTAATTGCAAAGGATTTGGATTTCTTTTAAATTTATTATAGAATACAACCCAAGCTGTGTGTTATATCTTAATGGAACAACTGGTCCCAATGTGTGGAATCGGTTATAAATAGAGCGGAAACTACTTTGTTGAAACAACAAAGGTTTATTTAAATAAATGTTTTTAAACAAGAATCCACCTCGATTGGTTCGAGTACTCGCTTAGCCAGGAGTGTAGATTATTATATTAATCGATTAATTCATAATCGTATTTATGGAGTGGCCTGGCCTGCAATGCCTAAAATGAATGGTCGTATTCGATAGGCAAGATGTTTTGAAAATGTATATCATTTAATACACCATGCACAACCACAGCTGTCTACTTCGAATCTGACAATGTGAATTCAATGTGGTTCACCCATGGGCCTAATTTGATTTATGGAGAACATTCCCCCAAAACATCGAATCGTAATCCATCGGCTACTATCGAACACGAAACCCCGATAGAGCCAGGCAACCACCACCATTTCACCCGATACATCGATATCCTCGCGAGTGGCTAACCCAGCTCTGAAAGGGAAGCAAGACACCTAAAACCAGCAACAAAATGCGCAGCGCGGAAACACAGGCGGCGTGTAATAAATAAAATAATAATATAAAGTCGGTGCAGCTGGGCGTGTGTGGTCGCTGGAAAAACGGGAAAAGCGTTAGCCCAGTGTTTTTTATTAAGCATTTTCTCCGTTTCGCCCGTGTCTGTGTATGCGTGTGCTGCGTGCGTGAGTGTGAGTGTGTTTTTTTTTCCTCATTTCGTGTGTGCTTTTTTTTGTACACTGCGGAGACGCGCTCTTTTTTGTGGCAGACGGGCGGAGAAGATGAAAAATCGCAGAGAGAGCTGCGAAAATTGAAAGGAAAATGTGAAAAGTTTGTTAATTGATCGAGTTCGAAATTAAAGCATAGAAAAAGGAGCAGCGGCAGCAGTAGCAACAACAACAACAACGAGTAACGAAAAACGGCAAATTTTTTTGTTTGCCTCATATCGCTCTCTCTCACTCACGCTGCGTGTGTGCGTGAGTGTGTGTGTGCGCGTCACATATCGACGTCCCTCTCTTGCCACCGACAACAACAACAAATACAAAACGAAGAAAGGAATGAAAAGGGGGAATAAAGTGAAACATGTTTTTCTGTGGCAACAACAACAACAACATGAGCAGCAGCTGCAACTATCGGCAGCAACAACAAAAGCAGTAGCATATAACATGTGTGAAATAACTGCAGCGAAATTAACAAAGCCCAAAGCCTGGAAATGAAATAACCAAAAAGGAAATCGACGAAAATCAAATGTAAGTAAGCCGTTTTATGCCTATGTTTTTGCTGCTTGGTTAGGTTGAAAAAAGAGAGCGCAGAAAGAGAGTCAAAACTCAAGCGTCCAGCATTATACAGCGTGCTGTTAGGCGTTAACAGCGTTGCTGTTATGCGCCCTGCAGGCAAGCCAATTGGACTTGCCGGCATTTTAAAGTCCAATTGGCTTGTGGCCTTTAGTTTATTAATTAGATGTTTTTTCTGTTAAATACTGTTTTAGAGCATTTATTGAACGTATTAAAATTCGAATTAGCCAGCTAGCAATTTGGTTCAGTATATTAGACTTATTAGTAAATTCACAAGTATTTACGCGGAAAGTGCTGTTTTAGAACAGATTTTCGTAAGATTTTTTTTTTAACTACTATTTATATTATCGTTTTTCAAAAGGACATTTAATTAGTTGGATTATACAAGAATAGAAATATTATTGTAAGTTGTTTATTGGCTTTATTGATAATCCAGAATCAAAATCTCATCAAATTCGAAGTACTCTTTTTATAAAGGCACGCGAGCAAACCATTTAGTTGACTTGATATTCACAATTATTTTTATTGGTTCGGCTGTTTTATGCTTGCTTAATTAAATGTGCTTGAAGTGTTAATTGAGGATTAAAAATTATAATTCAATTTATACGTATTCCATGAATTTGCTCTCTTCTATCGCTCTCACTCGTTTTCTCTCGCACGCTGCGCGCGCCCTCTCACTCTCTTCCGTTTCGAGTTTCAAGAAGCGACGCCAAAATAGCAATAAAAACAACAACGACGCAACAGCGCCGCAAAAGGTGGCAACCCTGTGGCCGTTGCACTTTTTACACCCAACCGCCCACCATTTTTCCGAAAAACAAATACAAAAGGGAAAATGAGGAAAAATCCAAACAGCTGGCAGTATCGCATTGGCAGCTGTGATTTTTCCTTCGTTTTTCCGTTGAAAAAGTGGGTTTTCCACCCTATCTCCTCTTCCATTCTCCTTCTCCTCTTCGCGATCGTGTTTCGTTGCGTCTTGGCCTTGCACTCATTTTCTTTGCCTATCCCATTGTTATTGTTTATTTCGCAAGAATTACGACACTGCCAGGCGAATTTGTTAGTAAACAATTGTGTATTCAGGGCAGCCACAGTGGTCACTTTCTGCAAGGAACCTCTTTTGTACATATATCGCTAACAATAACAATATATTAATGGAAATAGAATGAAAATAGATACCAAGAAAAACATAGATAGGTAATCTATAATATTTAAGCGCGAAAAGAAGGGTATTACCCTCAAACTCTTGAACAAACTGAAAACTCTTATCTAAATAGAGAATTTAATTCGCAACCATTATAAAAACAAAATTGTAGATGTACATAGCAGATATTTCCCATCAATGCAGGGAGCGCATTTGATAGTACAAGTGATCCATCCCGTTCTGCAGCTTCGCCCGCCGCAATCGCTGTTGTTGCCTTCGGCGCTGCCTGTAGAGCTTCAGAAGGGCGTTGCAGGTGTTGCTATCGAGGGCGTGGTTACACCCACCTTGGGGTTTTGGGGCGGCAGTAGCCGGGGGCAAGGGCAGAAAACTGCAGGAGGTTACCTTTTGTTTGGCCTCCACAGCGGCGGATGCGGCGCGACAGGCCGCCTCCTTCACCTGCTCGTACTCCGACTTGGCTTGCGCCATCTGGCGGGCCAGTCGGTCACCACGCGACTTCGCCGCCGCCAGCATTTGGCCCTTCTCATCGAGATCCGAACTCGACTGTTGGATTAGGCTATCCAGGTCCGACAAAGTGCCCCTCGTCTGCTCCACCAGGGCCCTGAAAGCATAATAATCGAAGCAGTTATCGATATCGGTTCGATGTGACAATCGATATGTTATATGGATTGGATTGTAAATAATATGGGACCAAATGATAAATTTGCATATGGTATGCATATATGCATATTTGTAATGTTCAATGTAATCGTATCACGAGCATTAATACCTGAATGATGCGGCTTGAACCTCCGCTGCTTTGACCACTGCACAGGCGGCATCCACGTTCGTCTCACTGATCTCCAGCGAGCAGCTCACCTGTTCCACCACCGCCTCGGCCTCCCGGATCTCCCTGGCGTAGTTGTCCACCATGGCCAGCTTACCCTCGAGCACAGCATCGGCGGCACGGGCGGCGCATATGGCCTTGTCGGCCAGCTGCATCTTCACCTGGCGCGATGCATCATGGGCGGCCGCCGCCTGCGCATCATTGGCGGCCTTGGCAACCTGGGCGGCATTCTGGGCAATGTGGGTGGCCTTCAGACGCGACTTGTTCGTCTCGCTTTCATTGGAGTCATAGTTATCCCTATCTCTATGCCTGTCTTTGTCCCGATCCCTGTCTCTATCCCTATCACCATATCTATTCCTATCCCAATCGCGATCTCGATCCCCATCTTTGTCTCGATCCTTGTCGCATTTGTCCTTGGTTTCACATCCAGATTGGTAGGGCGATCGTGTGGTGCATCCCAGATATGGCGGTGTGGCCGCCGAACTGTCATTCGCATCGCAGTTAAGCTCCTCGGGCAATAGATCATCGTTGGTGTTGTCCAGATATCTGTCCATGTATGAATTGTATCCGTAGTAGGGCAGGTCGAAGCTCATCGCACGGACACTCATTATGCGGAGGATGATCACGAGCACGGTATATGCTGGAGATATATTCATTTTGGATAGGGAATTTGAGGGAAGTGACTCAGGCTGCTGCTTTAATATCTGTTCAACACTAGATATTTCATAGATTATATTCCGTGTTATTTAGCAATACTTTACAGATCTCAAAACTGGTGAGTTTGTAGTATGGTATGGTGTCGTTTTTATTAATGGTTTGAACCCCATTAGTTTCTGTCTACAAGAGCCATAATCTATTTGTGGAACGGAGCGTATTCTTATGGAAAATTCCGTTTCTATCTGCGGAAAAGCACTTGCTTTTCCTTTAACGATTTTTTAATTGAGCAGAGTGGTTGCTCATACTTCTCCGCCAGCGCTTTTCCTGCATTCCCATATCCCATTTTCCTGCAGGATTAATGGCTGCCATAGCGATGTGTAATTAGCACCTCAGTTGGCAGTTTTCACACCTTTCTCCCTTCGCCCATTGCATTGTAAGTGCGTACCAAGAACATTTCATTAGTGCCCAATTGCGGCGCAATTGCAGCGCTGACGCAGCCAACTGACTAACTAAGTAAGTAACTAACTAGCCAAGCGACTAACTACCTAACCAGCTAACCAGCTAGCTCGTGTGGCGAGCGGAGAAAGGGGAGAAAGTGAGTGGAGTAGTTGATGGTCTGGGTGGTCGGGGAAAGGTGGTACTTTATCACAATAAACGTGATGCCAAGCACGTGCTGCCATTTGTTTTGGTTATTATCATTGTTATTCCAGTCTCTAATCAGTGCAGCCAAAGAAGTAAGAGTGCGAAAAACAGACCATGAATGCAATTAACTGGAGATGGATGTAATATTAACAATTGCAACGATCTGTAGATACAGTCTATATAGATAGATAGCGCTATAATAGATATTCGGTTGGCTTTTAATGAATACAATACCATGAAACCATTATACTTATATTTGTTCTGTGAAAGAATTCAAATGTTTTCTGGTTTCCCCAGAACTTTGTGCATATAACAATTTCGAAGAGTTTTAAATTAAATAACGCATAAAAGTCAGGAAATATATGCTATCCGCATAATTAATGTCAGATTCAAGATGAGTTATCAAGCTGAAGTGCCAGAGATGCAGAGAATAAAAACATTTTTTTCGGGACAGATATTCATTAAGTGAAATTCATGACGCCTATTCCGTTTCTTTGTTATGTATAACATACGTAGTATATAGTATCGTAATTGAAGTCTTCTTGTTCTTCTTATTCTTAATCTTGTTGTTGTTGTTGTTGTTGTTGTTGTTGTTGTTGTTCTTCCTGCATTCATTATCATTGTTGTTGCCGACTGGTGGCTTGATTGGCGATTGGTGACTGCAGTCTGCTTGCGAAACTGAAATTTTCAATGCCAGTGTCAAAGCTGCGACGTCATCCGTCATCAATGAATGCGCAGTTTTCAATTACCATACAAAACACCCAGTACGGCCCGCTCTACAGTAGCGGAAATGACGACCGATACCGCCAGTTTACTTATAGGAAAGTGGGAAATTATCAGAACTACTGTTTACAAGGCAAGTTGTCCAAAACATAACGACATTCCACTCAATTAACAGTCTCCATGTGACCTATGAACTAGTTTTCTCATGTGATCATACATACAATAATTAATTATAGAAAACTACATAGAAACTATGATAATAGATGGGGTAGCCTCATAGTATCGTAATCAGTGCTATCAATATGTCGAATGGATTATGTCCATGACTTGTTATACATAATACATAGTTACAATACAATACAAATACTTATTTTATGTTCTTTCTGATTTATAGAAAAGTAAATAGAATAAGTAAATAGAATCACTGCCAGCAGCATAAATTATAATTTATTACCACCTTCTTGCATTATATTGCATATTTGACAAATTATTATTATTATCTATTATAATAAATTATTATATATATTTTAATATTATATATTATAATAAATTATTATTTTGAGAGATGACTAAAACCATTTCATGAAAGGTTATTTTTTAATTGCCGCTTGTTGTCTTTTGCATTTTCGCTTGCCAACTTGTTAGTGTTTATATTGTTTATATTTTTTATTTGCACATTTTTGCGCTATTGCGTATTGAGCAAAAATCAACTTTATTAACTGACCTTGTGTGTGGCCATGTGCCCCAGTGTGTGTGTGTGCGTGTGTACTTGTGGGAGGGAGATGGCAAAAAAAGCTCTGCGACTGCGCCGCTCACTTCACTTCGGTTCATTTCAGTTCACTTCGCTTCATTATTTCATTTCAGTTTATTTCATTTCGCATCAGTTTCGGCAAAGGCAAAATCGGTCATTGAACTTTGAACCACGTCGAGCTAAACAAAAAAAAGAAAAATACAGAAAAATAAATAAGACAGCAAAAAACAACAACAAAAATAGAAGCAAAAATAAATATAATAATAAACATAGCCAGCCAGCGGCATTTACATTCTTCGCTCCTCTCTTCTCCGCTCGTCTTCGCTTTCGATTCTTCTCTATCGCTCCTCTCCACGCACTTGGCCAGTGGGTGCAAGCGGGACGGGGATAGGGTTCCGGGGAGTGCAGAGAAAGAAAGCATAAATTCTTCGCCTTTCTTTGCACAATCTTCCATTGAAAAAGTGCTTTCAAAAGCGCAAAAACCGTTTTGATGTCGTTGTTGTCCAATTGTTGTTGCTGTCACAGTAGTACTTCGTTAACTGATTCAAATGGAAAATGCGTACCAAAACTTGCTTTCTGAATGCGTTGAATAGTTGATTAGGGTTTACAACTTCCTTGTAAGATTTTTACAATAAGAAAGATATGCATACAATTGACCCTCAGATTTGAGATAAAACTAAAATCAAAGCTGGATTCAAGTTATGGAAGCCGTGTCGTACTCTTTCCTTGCCAAATTCCCTTAGCTCTTCACGTTCTTGGCTAATCAGCGATACTAATGAATACAGAAGAGGCGGAAAACGCCTACAAGGTATTTTTAGTAGACACCTAGAAAATCTAGACCACGCACATAGCCAAATAAGTTTGTATATGTATGCAGACGTGTGAGTACGCCGTATTAATAATAAAACGCTTTCTCCTCATTTTTCCGGCATCGCCACATGTTGCACCAAAAGAAAAACGAGTCCACAAAAAAAAAAAAAATAGAAATAGAGGACATATGATTTATTTCAATTATTAGTTTAGTAACAGCATTTAATGTGCACGCAAATTGAATTAAACAAAACGAGCGCAAATGGAAAAAGTCACACGAACGATTTGGGTCACCACATGACGTGCTCCTCCCCTCTCCTCCGCCCGCTCCTCCTTCTTTTTCGCCTCATTCTGCGATGGGTGGCTGCAGTGGGTGGGCAGCGGAGAAAGGCTAAAGCGAGAAGAAAGAAGAGAGAGCGCGAGCAGCAGGGCAACCACACATACATGTGCATTTCCACCACACATATATTGGCGCAGTCCGACAGACAGACAGCCAACCCAAGTGATTCTGACGTCAAACGGCCGCCGACGATCATAAAGTTGTATTTTTTATGCCCCCCCGCTACAGTGGCTACTCGCTAAGTTGTTCTCCTAATAAAGATTTCCGGTAAAACTCATTTGACGCTTGAAATTCATGCAACGATGTCATTTTCTTGATCTACGCTTGTTAATATTTTTATAAAATGAATACAAAATTATATCATACTCTATAATAATAATATTCAAGTAGCAAGAAAACTGACCGTGTATCTTTCGTTTTGCGTATCTCTTAGATGAAATCGTTGATAACAATCAAAGTCGCTATATGCGAATGATGCCTGTAGTGGTAGGAATCTTAATGTGGAATTTTTAGTACGTTTCCCAGAAGTTGGGGGAGTAGAGTGCGATCCGATTGCTGAGATATTCGTAGACCACCCAGTCGCCGGACAGGGTTGCCAGCTGCACCGAAAGCGAGGCAACCAAACTCCGAACTAGTTGGCTAATGTTTCTCTCAGTGCGTCTCACTTTTCTACTCGATTGTTTTTGCCTGTTTGTATGGGAGTGCGTGGGTGTTTGTCGTTATTGCAGCTATTTATTGCTGCTTTTTGCCGATTTCGTGTTGGCCCAAAAATAAACGATGAAGCATGCAAAAAACTGGCTGCTGCCACCCGCGCTATAAATAAACGCAGTAGTAAATAAATAACGATCCCCGGACATCGGCGGACGGACACATTGCAGAAAACTGTGAAAAGTCAAATGAACATGAACTGATACTGATAACGGGAAAACCGTTCAATTGTCGATCGCTGATCGTCGATCACAGTTGACAACAACGGGTTAACACTCGTTAGCCACATGATCTGCAAAGATCCGCATCCGCACACTGCGAATCGCTTGCTTACTTTATTAGTCACAAAGTGCAGGCAGGAGTGACGCATTAGCTTTTTTTTTTGTGTACTGATTCCGATGCTGATTCACGCCAGGAGAATAATACATGCTTTTTTGTATCCCGTTGTGTGTCTTTTGCTGATTTGGGAACTGGTTTTCTTCTGTTTTGCCGGTAAAATGTGTGAATAATTTCTACAGTGGCGGTTGAATAACTTTTTCATGAATATTGATATAATTTTGCTCATTTTATTGCACTCCATAAATAGGTAAATAATAATTTGCATAGTTCTCTGTAAAATATTTATTATTATGTATTTATGTATTATTTATTGTAATTAACTTAGCTGTCTATGCTTATTTGTCACTACAGTGGTGACCGCTGCTGTACAATTGTGCATTTATTTTGCTGTTGTTGTTTACTATCCCTTTTTTGCGCCGCGAGACAGAGCAAGAAATTGAAGGAGGGGTGGCAACCCTGGTCGTCTGCTGGTCAATTCCATTTGCTTGGCAACAAAATCGCGAAATGCCGACAGAAGAGCCACAACAACAACAAAGCAACAAAACAAAAAAGTAGCAAGCAGCGCTCCTCTAAACGCTAATAAACGCCACTTTCGCCGCAGCATTGAGCAATTTGCCAGTGTGTGTTTTGTTTTGTTTAGCTAATTAAAATATTTGGTCACGTATATTGTGTGTTGTGTGGGGTTAATCG